AGCATACAGCCTTGGAACACAGAGATAGTGTTCCCTTCCAGAGTAAAGGGCAAGCATGCTTACTGCCCATTATGAAAAATTCAGCTTCCCTAAGGTCAGTGTTCCTCTCTTGTAATGCAACACACTGTGTAGGTTTCATTTGACCTTCTTCCTATCACCCTGTGGGAATAAGGGCTTGTAGAACCAGCACAAAAATGCTGATTACTTGTTACTGCCATTGCTCTGAATAATAAACGTCCTTTGTCTCTGAGTTTTTAGTACTCTGCTTTCTACCAAAGTCTGGAAATTCTAGCAAGCTAATATTTTTTAGCGTGCATTTGAGGTAAAAATCAAAGGCCCTTTACAGTTCTTGACAAGTACTGTGATGTATATACTAGTAATTAATTCCTTTTTGTTACTCAGTGGTATTCTACTTTATGAATATAGCACCATTTATCCATTTTATTACTGAAGGTTAACTATACTGAATTTAGTTTTTAGCTACAATGGATAAACCTGTTATAAATGTTTATGGTCAAGTATTTGAGTGGATGTGTGTTTTCATTTCTCTTGGCTAAATAACTAGGAGTGAAATACTGGGTCATAGGACAAGTATATATTTTAATTCTGTTAGAAATTGCAGAAATTGGACTTACTCCAAAGTATATCTTCTTTTTATATTCCTATTGGTAGTGCACGAGAGTTTTAGTTGCTCCAGAGGATACGGACTCTAAGTCAAATTTGTGATTTTTTTTCACAATTCTCTGATGCCAGCTGAGCATTCTACAATTCAACTCATTTCTGCCACTATCTTCCTAGAGTTATTATCAGATCCCACAGGCTTAGTGCAAGACTGCCCCCTGCACCCCACTTCAAACATCAGTTTTAAGCCCCACCTTGTCACCTGTGCTTCTGACCTAATGGCTGTAGATTAGAGGTTCCAACAACCTTCTCCATGAGTTTGAGTAATTTGCTAGAACTACACACAGAATACAGAGAAACATTTTGTTTACTAGATCACTGGCTTATCATAAAAGGGTATAACCCAGGAACAGCCAGATGGAAGAGATGTGTAAGACAAGGTATGTGGGAAGGGCACAGAACTCCCATGCCCTTCTAGGCATGTGATTCTGCCAGCGTCTCCACATGTTCACCAACTTGGAAGCCCTCCAAACCTTACCCTTTTGTTTTTTATGGAGGTTTCATTACAAAACCTACATTGACCATTGGGAATTAATCTCAATCTCTAGGAGCACCTGGATGGCTCAGTTGGTTAAATGTCTGGACTCCGCCTCACTTCATGATCTCACAGTTCATGAGTTCAAGGCCCATGTCGGGCTCTGTGCTGACAGCTTAGGGCCTGGAACCCGCTTCAGATTCTGTGTCTCCCTGTCTCTCTCAGAGCTGGGGTTGGGGTGGGGGTTGGGATCCATTATCAACATCCTCTGGTAGAGTGGTATATTTGTTACAATTGATGAATGTGCATTAATACATCATAATTACCCCCAGAGTACTTCGTTTATATTATAGTTCACTCTTGGTGTTCTATGGATTTGGCTAAATGCATAATGACCTCTATCCATTGTTATGGTATTACATGGACTATTTTCACTGCCCTGAAATTCCTATGTGCTCTACCTGTTTATCCCTCCTCACCCTCTACTCTACCCAATCCTTGGAAACCACTGATCTCTTTACTGTCTCTGTAGTTTTACCTTTTATACAAGGTCATACAGGGAATCATATAATAGATAGTATAACTAGAGGTAATATTATGAATGGTCTCAACCTACAGTCTAGGAGGGGTATTGAAGAATTTTGAGACAGGAGACTGACTAATAGGCAAAGATTTATTATGAGAGAATATATAGATATGGAAGATGCTATGGAGTAAGGAGGAGACTTCATGCTTAAAAAACAATGAAGAAATGATTACAGTTACCCAGATAGGAGATAATCAATAATTTGTCAATTATTATGAATCTGAATTGCCTTATATACTAAACTGGGGAAAGAGTAATGTAAGATAGAATTTTAAAAATTATTCTTTAAGAATACCTTGAAGAATAGCCAGAATTTAGTAGTCTTTTAGAGTAGAATTTTACTGTAGATTTGGAGAAACAATTCACTTATAAATGATACCTAACAAAAATTGTAATAATAGGTGAAATACACCCATATACTAGGAACTGTGAGGAAATAAGTGATAGAATTTATATTACAGCAACAAAACATGAACATACGATAGCTCTAGTTAAAACTGCTGTCTCTTTATTCTCTTAATTGCTATAGTTGACCTGTGTATGCTTCACTTCATCTGATTTGATAGTCTGCACTTTCTTGACCGGGGAATGAAAAAAGAAATGAAAGCAAAAGAACTATTTATAATTAGTGAGGAGAAAGTTTAGGGGGGAAAAGGGAAGATTTGAAAATATTAAATAAAGCTTTAAAAACAGTAATTTTTTTATTTTAAAGAGTGTAGGCAGTTGTGATTTTTTTCCCTTAAGTTCTGCATAACATCAGATAGCAATAAAGGTGCTGCCAAATTGCAGACTTCCACATGAGGGATTTTGAAACATCAGATGACTGGTTCAAAACCGTGTTTTCATGCATCCTGTTACTTTCAGCATGAATAGTCTCCTTTTACCTTGAATTTTGAGCTGTTGTTTTTATTTGTTCCATATGATTATTTGGCTGTATGTAATTATTTAGCTTCCTTTAGAGTCATGGACTTGGGAGGAGTAAAGACTTTCTGGTCCCATATTTCCCTAAGTGTGCTTGTCAACTGCAGTCATAAAGAAAGGGTTCTGAGATCAGTTCAGTCAGGAAATTGCTGGGTTAAATAAACACAGTCAAACAAATTTTTTATTTAGGTAGTGGACAGGAGGGATATGGAATCTCAGAGACTTTCATATATGCTAATGTGATTCATTTAGGGAGAAAAAAGATAGAGCATTTATTTGACCACAAAATCCTTTTTTCACGAGTCTTTCTTGGAGCCATTGTTCCTTAGAACACACGTGGGGAAACTCAAATCCCTTAAATTTACAGATAAACATAAAAGAGATGAAATGGCTCATTCAAACCTGTGTAGCTTGTTTACTTAAAGAAATGGACTTGACCCAAGGGTTCCCATCATATTTAGTTTTGCTTCCTTTTGCCTCTAAATTCATAAAAGTCTTTGAAAACTACATGATATTTCGAATTAGACCCATAAAATACACACAAAAGCATTTGAAGACCTAAAACTAATGATTTAATTATTTTTAGTATATTTTGAACTGGCACATTGACTTTGATGAAAAGAGATTGAAAAAGCCAATTAATATTTGTAACCAAGTTTACACTTTTGCAGTCAGGAAACTTTTTCTGCCGCACAAAAATCAACCATATTTCAAATTATAAAAATCTATTTCCTTTATAAGAAACAGAAAAAAGTACAAAAATTTATGCAGAACAAGCTTTCCCACTTTCAAAAAAAGAACTGAAGAAAAGGACTGTTTATGATTTGCTCTGTTGTTCCAAACCCCCTCTCTGCATAAATAAACATGTATCTTTTAAAAACTTCTTTATGTATGGGACACCTGGGTGGTTTTGTCGGTTAAGCGTCAACTTCAGCTCAGGTCATGATCTCACGGTTTGTGGGTTCGAGCCCCATGTTGGGCTTTGTGCTGACAGCCAGCTCAGAGCCTGGAGCCTGTTTCAGATTCTGTATCTCCCTCTCTCTCTCTGACCCTCCCCTGCTCACCCTGTCTCTCAGAAATAAATTTTAAAAATGTTAAAAAATTAAAAAAAAAAACTTCTTTATGTAGATGGCACTATGATAGATGTGCTGTTTTTTGCCTTTAATATTTTTACTCAAGAATATTGCATATTTTTTCACATTAATACATGTAGATCTTTTAAAATATTCTTTGTTGGAGTGCCTGAGGTGACTCAGTCGGTTAAGCATCCAACTTCAGCTCAGTTCATGACCTCGTGGTTCGTGGGTTCGAGCCCCACGTCGGGCTCTGTGCTGACAGCTCAGAGTCTGGAGCCTGTTTTGGATTCTGTGGCTTCCTCTCTCTCTGACCCTCCTCTGCTCATGCTGTCTCTCTCTCTCAGAAATACATAAAACATTTTAAAAAATTAAAAAAAAAAATTTATTTGTTGTTTTAGTTGAAGTATAGTTGACACATAGCGTTACATTAGCTTCAGGTGCACAACACAGTGATTCAACAAGTTTATATGTTATGCTATGCTCACTACAACCGTAGCTTACCGTCTCTCACCATACAATACTATTACAATATTATTGACTATATTCCTGATGACCTTTATCCTTGTGATTGATTCTTTTGTAACTGGAAACCTGTTCCTCCCACTGCCCTTCACCCATTTCCCCCCAGCCATCAGTTTGTTCTATGTATTTATGAATCTGTTTCTGCTTTGTTTTGTTTTTTAGACTATGCATGTAAGTGAAATTATACAGTTTTGTCTTTTTTGTCTAACTTACTCCACTTAGGATAATACTCTCTAGGTCCATCCATGTTGCAAATGGCAAGACATAGAGATTTTCTTTTAATGGCTCAATAATATTATATAGCTATTCTCTAATCTGTATAATTGGTTTCCCATTGATGGACATTAGGGTAGTTGTAATTTTTTTTAACAGATAGTGCTGCAGTGAATTTTGATATAGGTCTTCGTTTTCTTTTGTTTTGAAACTTTGTGTGTGAGTATGTCTGTAGGAGAGTCCTTGAAGTGGAATTGCTGGGTCAAAGAATATGCACATTAAAATTTTTGTAAGTATTGCCAAATTGCCTTAAAAAATGGTCTTAGTTTATCTCCCATTGCCAGCATTGCAACACGGAACCTTAAAATGGTGTAACTCTTATTGAACTTAAAAAAAGACTTCATACTTTGTAATGGATAATAGTGAACATCTTGCTGTATGAATTTGAAAATCATAGAGAAAATTTATATAACATTGATAATCATGATCTCTCTTTTTCTCTATCTCTCTCCCCTGCTCTTTACAGAGCAAATTATTCATGGAAGGATTTAGAAGCCTAAAAGAAGGAGAACCAGTGGAATTCACATTTAAAAAATCTTCCAAAGGCCTTGAATCAATACGGGTAACTGGACCTGGTGGGAGCCCCTGTTTAGGAAGCGAAAGAAGACCCAAAGGGAAGACACTACAAAAAAGAAAACCAAAGGGAGATAGGTAATCATTTTACTATGTTAGTTTATGAGTTTATTGAAAAAAATTCTGAAAAATTATTTGCACTTTTTATGTTATTGGGCTTTATATATTCTAACCAAAATAAGTAAAATGCCATTATTATATAGTTGAGTAAACTTTGTCAGGAATATAGGCTACCTTGCAACTTGAACTCTCTGCACTATTTCCACCAGACTGTTCTGAGATCACAAAGGAGTCGAGGTTCCCAGCAAATAGTGTTGTCCCTCTGTACGTTGTAATACCTCACCTGTTTTTCAAATGAAAATACATTTGTTGTTTTGTGTTTTTAAGAGATAACACCTGTGTAAAGAGGTCAAGAAAAAAATCACTTGAAATCCTAACTAGAGGTAGGAATAATAATACATATGTAGTCTTTTTGAAACTTGCATTTTTTCTTTTTCTTTTTTTTAAAAATTTTAATGTGTTTTGTTTTGTTTTTTTTTTAAATTTCTGAGAGAGGGAGACAGCATGAGCAGGGGAGGGTCAGAGAGAGAGGGAGACACAGAATCTGAAAGAGGCTCCAGGCTCTGAGCTAGCTGTCAGCAAAGAGCCTGACACAGGGCTCAAACGCACAAACCATGAGATCATGACCTGAGCCGAAGTCAGACACTTAACCGACTGAGCCACCCAGGTGCCCCAGAAACTTGCATTTTTCTAATCAGTTAAAAGTATATCATGGAGCATTTCATATCAGTCATAAACACCTGTATAAATTCCCACTGTGTGAATGTACCAGAATTTATTTCTTTTTAATGTTTGTTTATTTTTGAGAGAGAGAGAGACAGAATGTGAGTGGGGGAGGGGCAGAAAGAGAAGGAGACACAGAATCCGAAGCAGGCTCCAGGCTCTGAGCTGTCAGCACAGAGCCTGATGCAGGGCTCCAACCCACAAACTGTGAGATCATAACCTGAGCCAAAGTCAGACTCTTAATCGACTGAGTCACCCAGTCACCCCAGAATTTATTTTTTGAATGTACCGGGATTTATATGCATCCAGCTTCAGGTTAGGTTATGATCTCACAGCTTGTGAGTTTGAACCCCACATCATGCTCTGTGCTAACTGCTCAGAGCCTAGAGTCTGTTTCCGATTCTCTGTCCCTTTCTCTCTCTGCCTTTCTCCTGCCTGAACTCTGTCTTTGTCTCTCAAAAGTAAACAAACATTCAAAAAAAAAAATGAAAAGAAATTAATGTACCAGAATTTGAACAAGGCTAAATTGATTTATAAAATTTAAGCTGTTTTGAATTGTTTGACGTCACCAATAGCACCACAGTGGGAATCCTTATATGTACGTTTTTGAAAAATTGTCTGATTATATCCTTAGGATAAATACCTACTAGTAAAAAATCTGGATCAAAAATAATGCATTTAAAAACTTTTGATATTTAGGGGTGCCTGGGTGCCTTAGTTAGTTGAATGTCTCTTGATTTTAGCTCAGGTCATGATCTCATGGTTTGTGAGAAAGAGTCCCAAGTTGGACTCTGCTGACAGCAGGGAACCTGTTTGGGATTCTCTCTTTCCCTCTCTTGCAAACGTGCTCTCTCTCTCTCTCTCTTTTTCTTTCTCTCTCTTTTTCTCTCCTTCCCCCACTCATGTGGGCTCTCTCTCAAAATAAATAAATAAATATTAAAAAAAATTTTTTTTAATGTTTTATTTATTTCTAGGAGAGAGAGAGACAGCGTGAGCAGGGGAGGGTCAGAGAGAGAGGGAGTCACAGACTCTGAAACAGGCTCCAGGCTCTGAGCTGGCAGTCAGCACAGAGCCCGACGCGGGGCTCAAACCCACGAACCTCGAGATCATGACCTAAGCGAAAGTCGGACGCTTAACCAACTAAGCCACCCAGGCGCCGCAATAAATAAATATTTTTTAAAAATTTTAGGTCTGTTTCCAGATTGCTCTCCAGAAATGATTAGGGCCAACATACAACCCCTTCAAAAATGAGACTGCTCAGGGTGTCTGGGTGGCTCAGTCAGTTATGTATCTGACTCTTGATTTCAGATCATGGTTTGTGGGATGGAGCCCTGTGTCAGGCTCTGGACTGACAGTGTAGAGCCTGCTTGGGATTCTTTCTCTCCCCCTTTCTCTGCCCCTTCCCCATGCTCATGCTCGCGCTGTCTCTCTCTCTCTCTCTCTCCCAAAATAAACAAACACTAAAAAATGAGACTACTCATTGGGTGCTGTCATTTTATTTTAAGATTTTTTTTATGTTTTTAAGTAATCTCTACACACAATTTGGGGCTTAAACTCCCAACCCTGAGATAAAGAGTCACATACTCTACCAACTGAGCCAGCCAGGTGCCTCTGAATGATGTCATTTAAAAAATCTTTTCCAATTGTTTAGCTTAAGAGATACAGCTCATTTTTTTCTTTGCATCCATTGATTAGATTAGAGGTTAAATATATTTTTATTTTTTCATGTTTTCTTCTATGAATTATATGTTTCTTGTCCTTTGCTCATGTTTCTATTAAGGTATTCATTTGCTCTTATTGATTCACAAGTTCTCTTTTTAGGAAAGAACTCAGTTTTCTTCTTTCCTACTATGAAAAACCCAGTTCTTCCCTAACTGTGTTTTTCTCTTGTGTGTCTCCTTTACTTTTTACACAGCACTCCATTTCTGACACCAAGCATGTGGAGATTTTACCCCCACACCAAGCAATTCTCCACAACACCAGCTGGGTATCCTACAACTTAACTCAATTCTGAGACACCTACCAAGAGATAGAGTCAGATCCCACAGGTTAAGGGCTAAGTCTCACAAGACAGTATCCCTCCACACACTTCAGATGTCATTTGCAAGAAGTGGATCCCGAGGTTACCCATAACTTCTGTTTGATTGGCTATAAATCAGAGGTTCCCACGACTCCCTCCTTAGGTTTGATTAATTTGCCAGAGTGGCTCACAGAACTGAGGGAAACACTTACATTTACCAGTTTATTAAAGGATATGATAAAGGATACAGATAAACAGCCAGATGAAGAGATGCATAGGGTGAGGTCCGAGAGGTCCCATGTTCAGGGGCTTCTGTCCAGCTGGAGTTGGGGTGCATCATCCTCCCGTTGTGAACGTGTTAGTCCATCTGGAAGCTCTTTGAACTCTTCACTACTGAGATTTTATGGAGACCTCCTCACATAGGCATGATTAATCTTTAACTTCATTTTCAGCCTTTCTCCCTTCTTAAGAGAATGGAGAGCAGGGCTGAAAACACCAAGCTTCTAATCATGGTTTGGTCTTTCTGGTGACCAGCTCTCATCCAGAAGCCACCCAGAGTTGCGTCATTAGAATAAAATACACCCCTGTCGCCCAAGGAAATTATAAGAGTTTCAAGAGCCCTATGTCAGGAATAGGGGTCAAAGACCCCTATTAAAATAAGAGATGATCCTGTGTTAGAACAAGAGATGATTCTAGTGGTCTTCTCACTTAAGAAATGATAAAAGTTTTAGGAGCTCCCTCTTAGGAACAAGGGGCAGAGACCAATATGTATTTTCAATTTTCTCACAGTCTCTTTGTGTATTTAGGACGTTAACCTTTTTTTCCAAACAGATAAATATCTTTTCAGCTTGTGAAATATTATTTAGTGACTTAATAGTGAAATATGATTATAGTGACTTAAAAATGCTTTTAAAGTTTTAAATTTGTATACAGACAAGTCTGTCACTGGGTCCTTGATGCTATCCGACTTGATTGCTGTTTGTCTTTCCAAGTTACAAAATTAATAATATACTATATCTATCTATAGTTACTTTTTTCTATTTATATTTTCTTATATAACTTTCATTAATTTATTTTTTACATTTAAGTATTTCATCTCTTTGTGTATAATTTGTTTTTGAAGAGTACTGTTAGAATCTAGCTTTCCTTTTCTCTCCTAATTTCTAGCTAGTTATCTCTGTAGCACTTACTATTGTCTATCCATATTTTTAACCTGGTTTGAAAAGCTGTCAGTAACAGAATAAACTCAGTTTTCATACATTTTTAGGAGCTCATTTTGTATATATAAAAAAAGTCCATGAAAGTGTGTATAGTGGTACACTTACCTGTTAAAGTGGTTTGTTTCTACTCTTAGAGAGTATATACATACATACATACAAGTCAAGCAAAGTAAAATAAAACAAGCCCCTTTATTTTTCCAAGTCTTCTTTAAATTTATTTTTATTTTTTAAATGTTTATTTATTTTTGAGAGAGGGACAGAGACAGAACACAAGCAGAGAGCGAGGGAGACACAGAATCCAGAGCAGACACAAAACCCTGAACTGTCATTAACAGAGCCTGATGCGGGGCTCGAACCCATAAACCATGAGATCATGACCTGAGCTGAAGTTAGATGCTTAACTGACTGAGCCACCCAGGCACCCCTTTCCATGTCTTCTAGGTAAAAAGTTTAACCATAGTTCTGGAATGTTTTACACATGTGTTAGATTGGACTCTGGAAGAAAGGGAGAGTGGTGGAGGCCAAGACTAGAGAAGGAATATAGCAGGCGATTCCTTCCTGTAAGACTGTCAACCATTGTAAAGTGGTTGAAGGAAAACTTTAAGTTGAAAAGTAACATGAACTGATTTATCTCCTTAAAAGTGTCATTCTGGCAATTGGGATGACAGTGCAAAGTGGAAGGGCAAGGATGAAAGCCGTGAAATCACCAAGAAGGCAGTTCCATTTATGCAGAAAAGAGATAATGGTGGTTCAGACTGGGATGGTAGCAGTAGAGTTGGGGACAAAAATCCTGACATTGTGAACATACAGACAACAGGATTCACTATTGGATCAGAGGTGGACCGTGAGACAAAGTAAAATATTCGGGATGACTCCAAGATTTGTTTGGCCTAAGCAACCAGAAAGATGGAGGGACTGTTTATTCACCAAGAAGGAGAAGACTAAGGAAGGAAAAGGAAATAAGAAGTATGATCTCAGATATATTTAGTTGGAGGTTTACAATAGACATCCAAATGGAAATAATTACTTAAGGAGGTAGATGCATGAGTCTGGCA